TTTAATCCTACTTTCACTCAAATTGAGCCACTGGTTTTGAATGCATTTCTTCTCCATGACACTTTTTCAGTACTCTGCCAGCGAATGCTCCAAACATTTACCAAGTGTTACTCATACCTCTTTCTTCTTGCGCTCCTCCTCCTTCCTTTTCTTCTCCTCTCTGATTTGAGCCAAACGTTGCTTCTTCCTCTCCAGCTCTGCCTTCAGCTCACTCTTGTCAGACATGATGCCACAGCTGGGAACAAAAACACAGTTTCTTCAAGTTGCACTCAGGAACAAGTGAATCTCAGGAGGAAACCTGTTGACATCAGGGGGGACTCTCTCAGCTTCAGCACCAGCTTGTGCAGGAACACAGCTGAGAGCCCAGCTTCACCTGGCTGGAGGATCACGGATCCTGCAGCGGTGTTTCCTCTCTTCTCTGCAGCTCACTGACTTCAATGTGCTGCTCAGACTGACACTGACCATTAACGTCAGCTAGCAGAGCCCCACCCAACCACTGAAAAGACCGTTCACACCCGGTTAGCTTAGCATCAAGGAAATAAGCTAACCCCGCTTATCTCCTTCCATCCACTTCTCTCTGCTTCTTATCACCTTGCCTCGTGGGACGTGATTCTACATACAGAGTTCATGTTGTGACTTTTTTATTTGACCAATCGCGTTACGGTTCCATTGAAAAACGACGAAGCGGCCTCGTTAGCTGCTGACGTTAGCCTTCCTTGTTATGGCTAGCATCACTGTTGTACATTTAACTATCAGATCCTAACACCGCACAAAGTCTGGTGTAATGTCTTACTTTAAATGGCGCCTTTGATAAATAACAGAAAACGTGGTTCCCACAACTCAACCAATACTTTTAGCTGAAGATGTAGCATTAGCTTTGTTTGTTAGCGGCTAGCTTTCAGCTACACAGACCGCAGGCTGAATAAAGCTAAGCTAGCGAATGAAGTGGGGCTACAAACACGGTGACAGAAACGTAATCGTGTTATTATTGTGTGACACTGACGAAAACGCGACGTGTGTCTGTGGATCACCGACCTTAAAGCAGGTTTTCGACCTGACACCAAACACGCAGCCAAAACAATCGAGCTGACAGCCCAACTACAGGAGCCGGGAGGAGTCAGAGGGGTTATTTCAGCTTCGCCATGCCTGTGCCTGGAAAAACACTCGAAGGCAAAACAAAGCCAAGAGAAGCCACTGGACTTCATGTTGTGGATAATATTACTAAATAATCTTTGATAAAACATCAATCAAGCACAGTAACAGGAACCCAGAGTCATACGAGCTGCTCATCATACAGATTGTGTTCTACTTATTTTTATATTTCTCCCTCCATAGCAGCCAATTATTAGAACAATCATATATTTCTAATTATTCAAGAACTGTAACATGCTGATTAGAAATGACCAGTATTTATTGTAAATATATAAAAATGTTCTCAACAAAGCAATTAGATCATAGAAAATCGGCCTTGATTATTTATACAGTGTATGTCGACAACACATCTTCAAGAAAACAAGCTCAAGGTAGAATGAAATGTAAGGAAAGATCAGCACACCCCCTCAGACTAATGCAGACTGGGTGAACATACACTACATTCAGCCCACAACTCATTTATTCTGCAAACAATTAATCTGCTCCGTCTAGTTTGTTGATCCTCTTCCTGACATCTCCAGAGGTCTCTGAATCAGCTTCATTTGTCAGCTGAGACAGGGATGGGCCCACCTTGGTGTTGTCCTCACCCCCCCCATCGGTATGCCGGGTATGCAAGACCTGGTCACTGGGGCGTTTCCAAGATGGTCGAGTTGCAATCCAGAGGATCAGAGCTCCAAAAATCACCAGGAGGACTCCTAGAACGTTCACAAAAATTCCCTCCGGAGGCATGTCCTTATACTTTGGGTTGTTCCTTTGTCATGAAATACAAAAAAAACGGTTTACTCAGTTTATGCGGCAAATTAACATTGCACATTTTTTTTAACAATATTATTATCTATTAAAAAGTACTTACAGGGCAAAAATGAGTTTCTCAGTGATGCCCATTAGGGCCACAGCAACAACACTGGTGAAGAGTAACAGACCACTGTAGATGTGGAGGGGCATAAATGCTGCTCTCCAGTATACCGGAGTAATTGGTATCAAGTACATGCCAACTCCAAGGACCAGCTGCTCATTGAAGGGGAGAAAAAATGCACTTGTTAGCTATTGTACCAATCACGAATGTTATTCACTGGGACTTTGCATTTTAGTGACTAAGAAAGAGAGAGGGGTATTTGTTTGTTGGTGTTCTTAAATAAATCTCAGTATCACATGCATGTGCTAGTTAAAGTCCCTTTATGTCCAAACAGTCCATAAAGAAAAGATAAATAAAAGTGGTACAAGTAAATGCAAAATGCTGCACCAAACAACCAGCAGCCAATACTTAAGATACAAATAATCTCAAACAAAACTAGTTTATTTACCTGTAGACAGTACAGTATGACAACTGTCAGGCCCAGCCAGCTGTGCAGACTGTACATGTTGGGGATTTTCGCACCATTATGGAAGTCAAAAACTGCCACCACAGATATAACAGCGAGAATGAAGGCCACTAAGTTCAGGCCTGCATGGGTGAACTTCATCGTCAGTTTGCTGCACTGCCAGGTAAAGGGGAGCCTGTAGACAATGATGGCTGCAAGAGAGGGTCAGTCGGTGTAAATCAAACAGGTTTGATGCAACCATGACAAACTAATTTTCTTTCAAAATAAGTCAATTTCCAATAAAACTGTTAAAATTAGGTTTTCAATTGTGACAGCTAAGTGATATAAAAATGGAATTGCTCATTGTGGAAACTAGTGGGTTTCTCTATAAATTTTAAGGTTTTGATCTTTATGTAAAGTGCCTTGAGATAATGTATATTATGATTTGGCACTATACCAATACAATTTAATTGAATTATTGATAGTAAACATCACTATCCAAACATTGTTATTGTCACTATATAATTTACGTTTTAGGTCTTTAAACCATGTGAAGTCTTACAGTGATTATTTTAAATATTTAAATCCCTAATATAAAACTTTTCACAGCTCTGCAAAGAGCGAAGGCGGAAGAAGAACTCTGCTTCTTTACTTATGTTTAAGTAGCGATGCCACACAGAAAACCTCAGGTTTAAGAACAAAATCTTCATTCAAGTACATACAAAAAGTATTACCAGCAAAGTATTCTTTAAATAAACTAAGTAAAAGGGCTTATTTTGCAGACTGACCCTTTTTATGGTGTTTAGACACTGGAGCACCCAAGGCCATGAAAGATCTTTGTTTTTCGTTGTTATGTGAAAGATAATATATTGTGCAAACAAGTTAGCTTGGGGGCTTCAGGAACCCATTATTGAGGGACAAGTTCCAATACAATCCTTCTAATCAGTATCTGGTGACTTATTTAGCCATTTGTCTTCTTGTTGTGCAGCACTTTGTATTTTATGTTGAAAAGTGATCTATATATAACATTATTATTATAATCCATGGAAATCCCCAAACAACATTGCAGGGCTCCATCCTGAGTAATCAGACACATAACAGACATGCAGGGTCTCTAATGTCATCATACTTAAGAAATCCACCAAATCTTTCAATCTTTCAACTCACAATAAACAAACCCTTACATCACACAAAAGTGCACCATAAGTTCAAAAAATGCCTTTGGTCCCTTTGAAGTGGAAAAGTAAAATAAGTTCCCCATTTAAGCACAGTTGTGTAACACTACGAAAGATCCGTTTAGTTCAAGTTTAGTTTTATAATTACGAATAAGTCCACATCAACCTCTTCCACGATCCTTGCAAAATTTTGACTTGTGTAACTTAGCCTCGGGCAATAATTAGCTGTTCACACCACAACTGACATCATTAGGCACAACGTATTTATGCAAGAGACAAAAAAAACGAGTCCTCTCACCTATTCCCTGTATGAAAATAAACCCTGTGACCATGAGCAGCGGATGCCAGTTGAATTCGCCCAGAGCTCCATCCCAGGCTAACCCTTCCCTGTAGTGCAGAACCCAAACTATCACGAAGATTATGGAGACAACCCCGAAGAAGACAGCGGCGGACAGAGCGGCCAGGAACTGCCTCAAGTTCTCCATCGCAGTGAGTGTGTGTGTGATCAGCTTCAGCAGCAGAGGAACCTGAGGTTGTTTCTTCTCTGACGCAGCAGCTTCTGTTTCTGCTCAGGACAAGTTCAAGAGGCTGCAGAGCGCGGCCACGTGACTGAGCAGAATGCGAGGAGGAAAGTAGGTTTGGTAACTTCAGTGTTTACAGAGGAGTGAGACGTCTGTCAGAAAACTACAAGTACCGCCCCCCAGCAGCACGGAGGAGGGGACAGTGACCCCCACTGTCCCCTCCCGTCATGACGCAGGGTGATGGCCACATCAAGTGTTTTCAGAATATCAAGATGCCATTGACCCTGAGGAAATTACACTTCACTTGTTATTTGTGGGGAATGTTGATGTTGACTTGTGCGTAGCTGTAAAAACAGATCTTTCATAGTGGTAAGTTCACACCAAGGTGCTTGGATGCTATAAGTTAATTTATGTTTTACTTAATTGGAAGGTTCTGCCCAAAATGAGAAATTACTCATTACCTATTCACCACTAAGCAGGATCCACGCGTGGACGTGGCACCAGAGTTTTACAGCAAATGGTAAGCTTTAAGGCTAAAAACACGGTGTAAATGACCTTGTTTCAAGTCGAATATGAATGCCAGTTCTTGCTGACACTTTAGACACTTTTAATGAGTCAAAGCAAATATCACTGAGACTCACACATTCATCTGGAATTTAAAAACAACAATTCTGTGTTATGAAACGTGAAACTTTCACCATTTGGGATCCGCATGAACCCCTAGAGGCAATATTGTGAAATAGGCCCCTGCTTCCATCTCCTCTGTGCAGGTGTGGTTTCTTTAGACTTGATTGATTGATTTAAGAAAACATCCACACAACTTATAAGACAACAAAAAAGTTAGTATTTAATTACCCTGCCCACTTTAGACCAGTGGGGAAGAGCTATAAGAAAACCGCAAACAAAATTCTCTCATGTGAAACCATCAAAACTGTTGTAGATTTGGCAGAAAGCCATCTCTTCCTGTAGGGACCACATCAGACATACTATGAGGCTGATTGTGAAATATGGTGGGACCTTAAACATGCTGCAACTGGGTAAATCTGTGGCTTGGCAAAATCAAAATCTGCCAATTTCAAATGCATAGCCAGATTGCACCAGCTTGTTTGTGGAATACATTAACTGGAGTGAGTTGTTGCGAGTGAAAGCAAGTAGACGGGAAATTACATGTAAACAACTTATGAATATATTCATATTTGGAAAACCATCGTGGAAAGAAAAGAAACATATAATTTTAATTTAAGATTAAGTGTATAAAAATGTTCACTTCACATGTGAGACAGATCGTGGTAAATAGTAATACAGTGATTTTAAAAACCTACTTGATTATCAAGTGTAATACACACAAAGAAACAGTTATGCTGGGTAAAAAACAGTATTGAGTTAAACTGAAAACTGTATTAAACCCACATTTGAAATATTTACACAATTTTAAAATGAGCTATTAAATTTCAAGCAGCTTTATTCACATCACTTATTTCCTGTTGTCCTTGAGTTTGTAAACATGGCAGCAGAAGTTGGAGTTCTTCTGTTCAATATGAACAATCGTGTCTTTGTCAAAGAACAACTCGTGCCGATACGTCTGAAAACAAACGATAAGAGCACACGTGCATGAATTCACACACACAGATTGATTAGAACTTGACATAACGTTGGTGTGTTCATGTCAAGTTACTCACCTCGTCCCATTGTTCATGCAGATCAATTCTTCGCTGTAACTGTCCACTTTGGTTGTCATGCAGTCGGATGTGAGCTCTACCTTCTCCCTCCTCACCGTTAGTGACCACGACTGCCAAAAGGTCAAGCTCGTCCTCGTATTCCACCACACGGAAAGTCTGCGAAATCAATTTTCTGTCACCAAAGACACCGTGAGGAGATCTTTGTATATATAGCTTTATATTTATAGAATATATTCATTTGCAAATAAACTGCATTAGCAATTTAAAGTATCGTGATACCTCTTGATCTGGGTCATCATCCAGCTGATGAAATCTTCTCTTCACTGTGCGGCCTGATGAGGTGACAGTGACTTGTGAGGTAGGCTGTAAAAGTTGGTCACAATTGAGATTATGTAAATGTAACATTAAATCCACCTCCAGTATGATGATCTACTTTGTGCCTCTGTTGTATGTAGGCTGAGTTATTGCATGGGATTTCCATCCAGTGTGACATTGACAATGTCGTACGTACACAAGAATGATTCACAATCAAGGTAAAGCGTGTCTGTCGCACACTCTGGCTCCATGTTAAGCTTTCTTTTATCAAAACAGACGATGTTTTTCAGATCTCAAGCCTCCTTTGAGATCAACAGTAGTAAGTGTATTACAAAATCTGCTTTCAGACATGCACTGAAGTCTGGACAAATGTTCGTTTCTGGGAACTGGGAATTCATGGCGAGTGGGTGATTAAAGACTTTACTAAAATGCAACGGATGGATAAATGGACTACAATTATCTCAGGATGAAAAAGAGGTGCCACACTTATAAAAGATTCAGACAAAGATGTCCACTAGGAAAGACAAGACTCGAGAGCTTTTTGTGTCCAACTATTGTTGATCTAGAATAAGGACTGAGGCTGAAACTTCTATCTTGAGATGAGTAGCATTACACTCACATTGTCATTTCGAAGGGTCATCATAGAGAAGTCCTTAACTACCTTTGATGGCAAACTACTGTTCAGTTCATCAAGGATTTGAAGGACACTGAGGAAAAAAACATTGTACTTTGTGAAACATGCCCAGTAAAACAGAGGGAAAAGAAACAAACATATCATATGCACTAAACATTATATTGTTGGTGGACAAAGGTTTATTGTCTTAAAATGTCTTTGGTATATTTGCCTATGAGCAAAATTCCACTGCTGTTGCTTTACACGCATTGCTGTGTAAAAGTTGACTAAAGAACTCACTTTATGGTGGTTGGTCCAACGTGGATGATTCTTCCTGAGTCGTCAGGATGGAAGAAGATACTGTCATTCTCCAAAGAGCAGCAGTTCATGTTTTGTATTCCATTTGTTGCCTTAAACCATACATTTACAATAACAGTTAAGAATTAATTACAACTTCCAGACAACAGGATGAGCACATAGCCATTTGTAAGTTTCCACAAAATTACAGCTGGATTTGTAACAATCCATTCAAACAACTGCAACTTTACCGCTATAGACTAAGTGGTGGTGAACGTAAAATGCTGCTTCTGTTGCAGTTACTTATTTGAAGTTTCATCACAGGCACATTACAATGATCAGAGCAAAAAGAAAACCGCATTAAGTTTTCTTTTGAAAACGGTGGCAACTTAATTATGTATCAGACTTCGACAATATATTATCAAGCTCTTCTCATAAATGTGAGTAGTATTGTCCAAAAACTGTAAAAATCATATTTGACACATGCAGCAAAAAAAATACTCAGCACATTTGGTGGGTTTCTGAATTGCGGTTACAGATTTGGTTCCATCCTGCTCTGTGCAGCAGCTGAATACAGAGGCTGTCAAAAACATCTGTGGCCCCTCTTACCCTGACACTTTCAATAGGCTCTAAACAATTTGGTGACAGTTAAGTCTATCATACAAGACTGGGCACGGCTATTACAGTCGAGCATGAGTTACATTTTATAGCCCAATTACCACAGTTATTGAAATGTGTGAGTGTGATGGTGTATGGTAAGGATACTTTAAAATGTACCATGGTATTGTCCTTGAGTGAGCAGATGTGGTGAGTTCCCTTGTGATTTTTCTGTGGTGGTGTATAGATGTAGTGCCATGGGTATCCTCCAATCTGGACGCCGTTATTCGCGCAGGACACCTCAAAAAGCACAGGAAGACAATCTGTGCAATAAGATAAAAAAAAGAACTCACATTGTGAAGAAAAACATTTATTCTCAAATTAGTTGAGAAAGTTGTAATTCAAAAACAGAGACAGCACCAGTTTGAACTGAAAAACAGAGCTACCTGTGATCTGGATGTTTACTGGGATACCAATCGGAGCTTCTCCCACCTTTTTGCCTCCAAGAAGAGAACTGTACTCTCCAAGCATTAACTTCTCCGTCATGTACTGAGAATAAAGAAATATCAGATAAACTGATGTAAGCAGCTAGATGATCCAACATGATGTAAATATTCACAGAGACCTAGTCTTTACCCCGGGAGCTATTTTTTATATTTTGATTGAATTTAATATTCAGCCAGGAAAACATCGGGTAAATTTTCACAAAAAAATACAAACCCTTTGCACGATGTGTTGAAAGCTGTACAGCTTCACAGACTTGTTGCTGTGAGACACAGCCAGGACACCTTGAGACAAAACAACATCGGTAACACCATTCCCAAATATCTGAAAGAACAAGATTTCAATGATACTTATGCATCAATCCTACAGACACATTTGAAACATGAAATAGGCTAAAAACAAATCTGCATACCTTTCTGTTAATCTCCACAATGCCTACAATTTGCAAGGGGAACACATGAAAGATGGCCAAGTGCATCACTGTATTGTGCGTGATACCTGCCTGTGGAATGATAAAAGGATAAGGTAATGGTTGTTGTACATTGTCACCTAGCTTATTTTACTCTGTAAAATCTGTTGTGTCCCTCTTAAATTAAGCATAAACCTAAATAAATAGATTGACCTTACCTGTCTTGCCAGAGAGGTTTCTTTGTTTTGAACAGATTTAACGTAAAATGTTTCTTGAGAAACCTCCCAGCCAAGATACCTTTAAAACAGAAAGCAACAGAATAAGATGAAAAGATTGTTGATTGAACTATAATGAAAAATAAATGTATTTACCTCCAACAGAAAACTCAGAGCCTTGAGAATACCTGAATTTATGGTTCGAGGAGAGGTACACTTGTTGCAGCTCTTTCCCCGTTTCAGCTGAAAGGCGATACAGCCAGTTATTGGCTGTCAAAGCTAAAAGACTGGGTTTATGATCAGAGGGAGAGGTCAAAGTTTTGTCCTGTCGAAAACACACGAGACAAGAGTCTGAAACAGGTTTGGTGAAATATGTTCACCGAAGGATTAGTACTGAGAGGTCTACTAATACAAATATAAAATAAAAAATGTCTGTAGTTACACTTACAAGTGGGCTCTGACACAGCAAGGCATCTTCAAATTTCTCCAATTTAGTCCTTTTAGGCAGTTTGTACAAAACTTGAGGCTCTGTGTGAATACTGCAAACACAGGAGGATTTAATCAGCAATAAGCATGTCATGCATATACCCAATTTACAAAATAAACCACAATACATGCAGGAATAAATTATGTCTTAGTGGTTTCCAAAAAAACTTTCCTTTCCACTTGACCCCTTTTCTCTGGTCTTTACAACTTTAAAACTTTAAAATGAAACAGTTTATCTGAACAATGGAGCTTTAAACTTTGAAAATGATCTCCACTAGTTGTCACTACCTAATTTTGATTAAGTCTTCTATTATAGTTCTATCACATCAAGATGATATTTGGTCCTGCATAAAATAGGGAATGTCTCTTATTTAGTTTAGCTTCAGAGCTGATAAACACAATTAGTAAGATATTTTACTCTATTGTTTACCCAAGGAAGATTACTGTGGTTTATTCCACAGCTTTTTTCTTGTAATGTTTTTTGTCTTTTCCCAAATCTTTAAGGAGCGACTTTTCCATAAGAGTAGGCTGCCTTGTAACAGCTCCCATGGAGCAGGACTCCATAATAATCTTACTATCACATCAAGTTTCTTAATGATTAAATTAATTATGAAAATTGAACACAGAGGGCAAAACCTGAAAAAAAAAAAACACTAAAGAAGAATTTGGAGTAGAGCTATAAGTTTATTGAGGTCCCATTCATTTAATAGAAGTTTTCACTTTTTATTTTTCAAGAAAATTCAAGACATGAACCGAGACATCTTAATAAGTTGGCATAGGATTACTCCAATCTTTAACTTCTCTGTTCAAATACTGTCTTAGTAAAGAATTGCATAGAAAGCTTTGTTATTGTAGGCCACTACTGTAGTTTTCTGGAAATATTTTCATTTCCTGCATCTCACAAATAGTACAAATAGTCTACATTGGTCTTAAGCATAGTGATTTACTCTGAGATACATTATTTGACTCAGGTTTTGTGTGACTTGTGTCATTTTGAAAGGGTTTGTTGTGAATTGTTAACTGAATGCAACTATTGTATGGTTACGTACTTTACTTATATTCATTTATGTATTAATACTCACCAACTGTAGCAGTTCTGGTAATTTTCAAAGTAGATTTTACCATTCTCATACATGATTGTAGATTTTGAGGTCTTGCTCCACACTTTGATGAAATCCCTGTTGTCCTACAGAATAAAACATATGTCATTAAAGATACCATGGCAGTAAAGAATCAACTGCTACCAACTATTTAAAGACCCTGTCCATCACCTGGAGGAGGATGTTTCTGAGGAGCCTCGTGTTCAGTCTGATGAGGGACCCAGCATCGGTGACACCTCTCCTCCTCCTGCTCAGCAGCTCCGCGGCGTTCACGGCCCCGTTTCTCCGGCACGGCGCCATCATCAGGTGGCTCTTCAGTCTGCAGGAGGATGGTCCGGTAACATGTCAGGAGTCGACAGCCAGAGGTGACCCCGAAACCAGGGTCAGAACCAGGTGAGGATAGTTTCCCTCTCCCGTCTGACAGCTCTGGAGCTGTTTACTCGATGTTGACAGCGGGTTAGCAACAATATGTCGTTAGCTTCTTTCAAAAAGAAGAACCCAGCTCGCAATATAATAACCTATCGAAACGGAAGTTGCCCGAGTATAATAAAACAATAAGGTGTTATCAGCAGCTATACGTTTGCGGAAGCTAATTTCATATTTTGAATGATGTAGCTTTAGTTAGCGGCTAGCGCCACAATGTTTGTACTAACCTCTTCTTCTACGAGAGAATTCAACTCACGACATCCTCCCTTGTGAATCAAAGCGCCCCCCTCTCTCCACCGCGGGTACTGCAACTCAGCATTTTTATTTTGTCTAACTTCAATTTTAAAAAATACAAATATTTCACACAGCTTTTATATTTATTTTTACGGAGCCTCTGAAGTCCTAAAAGATGATTATTTTTCATCTAGTGGGAACAAGATCTTTATTTAAAAAAATATGTTTTAATCACATCATATTTATTTAGTTATATAGTTATTAATCAGTGCTTTCTATCTCAAGATTGACAAGAATAGAACAGTTTGGAACCAGGTCAGTTTTATAATGTTTCTGAAAAGTTACACAAATTTAGAAAAAAAAAAACAATCCGCATAACAGTACTAGTCATGGATACAGTGTCTCTGTCTTAACCTTCTATAAATCTTTCCAAAACAAAACCTCCTTGTTTGTGGAAAGCCAAGACGATTCAGGATTGTTGATTTGTTGTTTAAAATAGCATCTCCTCGAGTCACAGCACACGGGGGTTGTGACTTACTAAATTAAATTTGTTCTCGACAAAACCGAGATCCTAAAAATAAACAGAAAACTGCGGCTTTTGGAAAGTTCTTAACTGAGCATACAGGGATGTTTGTCTGCTCATAAAATATAGAAAATATTTACTGCGTGGAAGTCTGTGCTTTGAATGTAAAGTATTTCTAGAGTCATTAATTATTAATTTTGGAACATTTTTGCTTGAAAGTTGTTAATTATTCCTGAAAATAAATTACATGTTAAAAAGAAAAATGTATAAAGATGTTGATGACAATAGCAGCAAAATATCAAAGATAATATTGAAGATTAAACAGCGATTTTGTTAGCATTAAACAGCTCCCATGAATCTAGTTGCCATATAGGTGCACCGTCAAAACATTGTGAAAGGCTGTTCAACTCTTGCTGCATTTTTACAGAGCAAATGCAGACACTGCGGAGCGTCTCTGTGGCCAGTTTGGCTCAAGTTTTCAGATTGTCCACAAGACGAAAGAGCACAGGAGGACGACCTTCGGCTCCACTAGGTTCACGGATTCTCACCGATGCTGACGACATCTTTAAGCACAACACATGGTGAGTGATGTACTGTTATTGGTTTGTCAACAAACTGTACCTGCCTGTAAGCAGATCGCAGGATTTCAGCGTAGCTGTTCCAATAACATTAAGCTGAAATTGAGGCAGCATTTTTATTAGATTTGGAAAAAAAGATGATTTTCAATGGTCTAGTTTTGTATTTTCTTTAATTAATCACACAGAATAAATTTGGTTTGGATAAAGCATATTATTTTACATTTTAGGGATCATGTACAGTGGACGGAGGAAGACAAAGAGAATGCACGGCAGAAGACACAAGAAAATTCCTCTGTACAAATTCCTTTAAAGGAACAAGGTTAGATGATATTCCTGCAAAATATTTGATTTATGTTACATGGACACAGAATGGTAAAAATGTTCTTGAATTCCCTCCACTCAGGTAAATTTGACACAGAAGCTGACCGGTACTGGGACAAGTTTTATGAAATACACCAGAATAAGTTCTTCAAAGATCGCAAGTGGCTGATTTTAGAGTTCCCAGAACTGCTTCCACCAGATAGAAAAAGCCAAGTTTCAACCAGGCGACGAGTTGACCCGCAGACAGAAATCCTACCTACTGGATCCAGCATCAGCCAGCACCCAGAGACCAGACACCATTCACACAGTGATGTCACTCCCCATCACAGACACATCTCTGACTATCAGGCCTGTCCGGGAGGATCACTCGAACAAAATGAAGATGTCGTACAGACTTCTACTTTCCCTGGACAACATGCATCTTTCAGAATCTTGGAGGTTTCCCCGTTTTGATCATTTACTTTTACATGTGAACCATTAGACGATTTGCTTTACCACATTTCCTGAGTCAGAATTATCAATAAATGTTTTCTCTCTTGACAGGTTGGATGTGGGGCTGGTAACAGTGTATTTCCCATTGTTAATTCCATAAAGTAAGTACATATATTTTTATTCAGTGTTGTCAAATCTACGCATTTTTTTCGATTTAAATACACAAACCACTTAACATACACCCAATAGCAAAAAAACCCTTTTATTTATTTATCATTTAATGGCTTTATGGCTATTTACAGATCTCTGCATGTCATTCAGCTACATATCCCAGGATAGCACAAAGATTTCAGTGTTGTTTTTTCTAGCTCTAAGGTTAGTAACAAGCTATATACTGCAGCGTTAAAGGTATAATTTGTATTGTTTAAAATACCCAGTATAATTACAATCAACTTTTGTACAGTTGGGAAATGTCAGCGGAACTCTTTTCAATTCCTGTCACTGCACAATCCTGTCCATTTGTTTTTCCCAGAAAGACAGCGATTGCATTTACTTTTTCCCTCCGCCCCGTGGAGAGTGAACTGAGTTTTGAAGCCACAAAATGCCTTCATCAAACATCTATTGCCTTACATGTAATGATCTAAATTCATGTCTCTTTTTCACAGAGAAACAGATGGATTTTTATACTGCTGTGACTTCTCTTCACGTGCCATTCAGATGGTTAAAGTAAGTTTCTCTAATGTTGTTTGGCATCAAAACATTTCAACGTAATCCATCCAGTAGTTTTTGCATAATCCTCGTTACTAACAAACACAGCGAGACATAAACATAACCTCCTTGGCATAGGTAATAATTAAAGTGAAGGCAGATTTACATTGAACGTGAATTTCTTCAAGGTAAACACTTATGTGGGGGAGGGGTCGCAGAGGTCAGGGTCACAGAGCCAGTGGAATAGTTAAAACACGTCCTGTAGAATAAGATAAAGAACTGATAACAGTCCTTATCTCGGCCACAATTTGGCAATGGACCCTGTTAATGAAACTGTTTTGGACAAAGCTAACTTTATTTTCTCAAATAGACCCATCCAGACTATGACGACTCTGTGTGTCACTCCTTTGTCCATGACGTACGTGAGGAGGCGGCCTCTTTTCCCTTCCCTCCGCAGAGCCTGGATGTTATTCTGGCCGTCTTTGTGCTCTCCTCTATTCATCCAGAGCGGTAGGTGAAGGTTATATTTGCCAGATAGGAGAGCGTGACGTCATTTGTTTGTCCCCAACACACCTTCACGTCCCCAAGGCTTTATCTGGATGTCATTACAACACCCAATTGCAAAACTTAACACAGTGTGTATTGTTTCATAGAACTGTGCTGTGGTTTGGTCGACATTAAAATGTATACATGAGTTAAAGGGATGACAGCAGAAATATTCAATATTAGGCTTTAATATAACCAAGTGCACTCACATGAGCAACTTATCACACTCACATTTCAGCTCAATGAATGAAAGCACTCATCATATATTTTGACTGGTAATACTTAGATCATCAGAAGCTGCAAACCTATTAATCAATATTATTATCCCATTAACTGATTACTTCGTTGACAGATTGCAAGGAGTCGTGAACCGACTCTCTACATACCTGAAACATGGAGGGATCTTCCTTTTCCGCGACTATGGAAGATATGACCTCTCACAGCTCAGGTTTAAGAAGGGTGAGCCTCCAAATAATAAAATAAAATACACCTCAATATAACAATTTTCTGAACTTTGCCTAATTTAATGTGTATTCTTTATGTTCTTTTAACAATTTAATAAACTTAACCTTTTAATCTAATCTTTTAAAACTAGGACGGTGCTTATCAGAGCATTTCTACACACGTGGAGATGGAACCTGTGTTTACTTTTTCACAAAAGGTATTATTCTGATTTTCAAGGAGAAAATAGCAGATAACAGGGCCTTAGCTCCTAAAGAGGACACTGAGATCAATTTAGGAATATGGTGGATGACTTTATAATCTGTATTGATGATTTTTTTTTAAATAAATCTAAATAATAGTGATGTTTCTAGTGTTTTTCTGGGGGAGGTGGGACATGAAGTGATTATTGACCTGATTCATTTTTTTTAATCCAACCTACAGCCCTGGTGTCTGTTTTTCTATATTTCTTTACAGACGAAGTCCATGATTTATTTTCCAATGCTGGACTGGAGGGAGTTCAGAATCTGGAGGACAGGCGACTGAAAGTGAACAGAGGAAAGAAAATTACAATGCACCGGGTTTGGATGCAGAGCAAGTACAGGAAGCCACATCCACCTCCGTCATCCTGACATCCCACCATGCAGAGCCAACTATATGCCTTTTTATGAACTTCGCTGTTTATTAACTGAATCCTGATAACTGCATTTTTTTTTTCAAATAAGTATGTATACAGCAACTTTTAGTCAAGCTATAAATAATGGAAGCAAGATAAAGAAAAGTGTTATACAAGATAAAAAGGCTGAACAGAAAGTAGGTCAATACCTCTTGCTGTTGATTGATTAGATATCGGTCACAATGTTAAGTTGTTATCTCACAAATCTGACCTCATTGTACCTCATTGAGTTATCTGGTGCGTAACAACTTTTATGTAATTTTAAATTTTGGTATAAAAACTCAAATGCAGACTTGTTTGTGTGAGTACTTTCATCATGCCTAAGACAAACTGTGGTTTTATATGAGATATTAACTCAATATTAATACTAAAAAGAGTTATTATTTTTAATTGTGAGAATGTTGGCATATCATGACTAAGTCATAATTTAGAAGATGCCTAACTCTTCACATTATTTGTTTCTGATTATATTAACACAGACAAGTATCTGAACCTTTTTCTAATATTCTCATTCCACATTTTTGTCATCACAACTTTTTTTTTGTGGCATAAATAACCATAACTTTATTGTTTACGACCAATTTGATTTCTTATTTCATGCATTCGACCAAGTGATCATCCACAACTTGTACCTAAAACTGCACGAAGATCATTTGTGCTGCGTAAACGTTTTGTGGATCCGCTCATCTTTGCATGTTTTCTCCCTGTTGTCATTGACGTGAGGGGGAAAAAAACACGCATCACCCTCGCGATAAGAATTTTGCACACGCTGCGTGACGTTTCATAGCCGAACCACTTGAAGACGGAGGTGTCCCTGGAGCCAGGACGCACTGCCGAGGTGTGGAGAGGTTCGTGTCCTACAACCAGACAATAACTCGATCATCTCACCCAGCGGCGGACGGTGTGTCCGTGTTTAAAAAACCAAAAACACCCGAGCTGCGACCATTTGCTCCTTTCCCCCGCCGCTGTGGCACATCCACCGTGCGCGCTGCCGTACCTACACACGAAAAGTAGCTTGATGAGTGTCCAAAGTAGTGGAAGTTTGGAGGGGACGCCATCTTTGGTCCCAGCTCTCCACGTCCCCAACACGGACCGTGTGTTCAGCAACAAACCGCGGCGGTGGTGGTGAAGGCCCCGGGAAGGTACCGTGAAACATTTTGAGACGCTTGTCTATTTCCTTTTTCGTCCATTGTGCGCAGGACGCCGGGGAATTGCACTTAAAAATGGAGCGAGGAAAATGTTGTGTGGCGAGAACCTGCTTCGTTAGCTAACGATACAGTGAACGCGTCGGCTCCAAAGTCCATTGAGCCTGTTTGGCTAGCTCGTAGCACCGAGGACACAGGACCGTGCTCCCGAGCCCAGGCCAGCGCACTAACCTCCGGACATATATAAACGTGCGTAATGGCGATCAAAAGCTTTAGCATAGGAGGAAGGTTAGCACTGGAGTCGGCGCATCTTTCTCTAAAACACGCTGCCGTTAGGAGAGCAAACACCAGTCAAGTTACCGAAAGACGAACAAGATCAATACATGCGAGCACAGATGTCGAGCAAATTCCTGGTGATGCTTACGTTGTGTGACACGATCAGCCACAAGCTGTGCATCACATAATTAACATGGATTATAAAGTGTGGTGTGTTTGCATGTGTCTGATCGTCTCAACCTTGCACAGGAGCAGTAGCTCAGCTTTAAATGGGACTATATGCACCTAACGTCAACTATGCTCCTTACATGGCTGTCTGCAAGAGATGCTAATGCACTGAATGCTAGGTAGCCTCGTTTGACCTTAGTGCAACTAAAGGAGCTAAGTGTTGATGAAAGGCTGGATGCCACAACACACACAAAAAGATGTGTGGGATAACGGCTGCTTAGGGGTTTGCAGCATGCACACACACACACACACACACACTCAAACAAATGATGCATGTTTGGTAATGTTTGTGTTGATCTCAGGTAGCTGTCACTCTTGTTGATAAAGCCTGCTTGCACCCTCATCAGTTTAAAGAGGACTTTGTAATGATGCAGAACTTTTGCTTAGTTTGGAGAATTCAAACAGCCTCAACATTCCTTTGTATTATCACTGTTGCGTGCAATGATTGAGGATTAATGTGTGATGGCTGCCTTCACCAGCACGACACTTGTGGGCAAATGTATGGCTGTTACTATATGTACTGTCTTTGTGTGTGTGTGCCTTGAATGAATGGAGGTAATCCAACCCACCCTGCACCAGAGATTTTAAGACTTACCAAGTGTCTGCCATAAACAGGTGGTCACTCAGCCAGGCAGCATGGAGTCAAAATGACATCCACAGCAAGGGCTGTAAGGGTTCACCCGCTTGTTCCTGCAGGGGCTTGAAAATAGATAATAGTCATCCACTGAGGCCTTCCTGCTACAAACAAAGGGAAATCCTTGAAGGCACCACATGGCCGATAATGTATTGATGATATAAAACTGATATTAACGTTTTGGTTGAAAGGTGAGATATGGTTCAGCCTTGTCCCTGCAAATTAAAAGTTGAACCAAAAAGCTGCAACGGGAAGGTTTTTAAATCCACAGCTTCTCATAAAGGTTAAGGGTTTTATAGTAACAGAGTAAAATGCCTTGACCGACCACACCTAGTGAATAATTTAGTGCCCATGTTGAAGTTATGATAATGCAACAGTTAAGGAATCAGCCAATTATTTTCCATACAAGTTACACAAGGATTACAGGGAAGAGAACGTAATGCCAAGACGGTTTGTACTTGGCTCTCGAAGAGGTGCAGATGCACGAGCAGCATCCTAACTGTAGTCTTATGCAACCCAGCTGCAAAATTCATTCATACTCGAGTGCAAAAATATTAATAGTGAGCATATTTGTGGAGAACTAATACAAGTAGGCTCTGTTGTGATTGTGTGAATTGGTTTTTGTTGTTATTTCTTATTTTACAATCTCTTTCTCTGAAATGTATTTAAAAATCCCCACCCGCTGCACTATGCTCCACAGCCCTCATTCAAAATGGTTGTCTCATTAAAAGCCAGGTTTGGTGGGCAGACCCCTCAGAGTCTGCAGCAACACCGGAGCAGAGGGAGCTCATGTAACAGTCCCACAGGAGCACAGTATTCATCATTGCCTAGCAGTTGATACATTGCTCTTGTACTCTCCTGATAATGGAGCCTGTGGTACAGAAATGCACGTTACTGTTAGGACTGATCACGCTCTGCATTTTGAGTTGTAACAAATTATTTTTGATAGATTCGTTGTTTTTGGTGAGAGTAGTATTATGCTGCTAGTAGCAGATCTGATGGCGGTAACAGGAGTGAAGTAATAATAAAAAATCCTTTTCTCTTCAGTGCTTCATAAATGTAGAATGAAAGCAGTCTTGGGAATACCACTGGGGAATGGGCATAAATTTGGTTTTGGCCTATATTCTGGTCTAGACTGAAATATTATCACCTGTCAGGGTTTGAGATCGTAAATTACATTTATCACAACTCTGCTCGAGCTCATCGCAACCGTGTCATCTGTGTTTTTTTTTTGTTTGAGTGGGCATTCAAGAGCTTCAATTAAGCTGATCCTTAAATAACTGAGGCGTACTGTGAATTATTGCTAATCCTCCCAGGCACCATGGAGGAGCTGCACAGCCTGGACCCCCGGAGACAGGAGCTGCTGGAGGCACGCTTTATGGGCGGGGTCAGCGGCAGCACTGGGGGCAGCACTGGCAGCATGAGTGGGGGAACCAAAGTGAGTGAATATTTAGCAATGTCAGTTATCTTGTTGTTATGGAGTAATTGGTGAAATACTATTTTCTAAAAAACACTCATCTGAAGTAATATGTTACTCTTTTTTTTTTCAGGGTTTGACCAATAATGAATGTTCCAATCACAGTTTTGGAAGCCTGGGATCTTCAAGCGACAAGGAATCAGAGGTACAAGTCCAAATCTTTTCTTAAATTAGTGGTGCATTTCTGAGAGCTACAGTTTAAAAAAAGTCACTGTATTATGAAACGATTCCCTTTTAGAAGGCAGGGGCATTAGCATTGATCACCTCATAGGGCTGGACAATTAACCAAAGATTTATTGAAACCTATATTTATACTCATTACTGTTAATTTGGTTAACACTTTTCCCAATGCATGCATTCACGAACTGTTGGGTTTCCGCTACCTTCATTTTGCAGTGGTGGCCCGGGTACCTTGCACCGTGCTGTATTACCCCGCTGCATGTCCTCCCTCCTCACTCCTCCCTGACCTGCGCTCACTCTACACTTAAATAAAAAACACCAGCACGGATCAGAAGTTATTAGGACCTGAACAGTACTTACTGAGGTCCTTGTGTCACTGAGATTGATGCATTGGCACAGCATGAGAAGTCAACCACCATGTTGTGTCCTGACATTTAATAAGGCTTCAAACTGGATTTTCACGTTCATATTTTATGTCCTCCTGCTACACTGCTGCAACACACCCACATCACTGCAGCCCCTTGACAATGTCTCTGCAAATGTCCTTTAAGAATACAGTCACACACATTTGCCACATTTGTTGACAGACGCCTTTACGGCGTTTAGTTGATTGAATTTTGTGAAGTAATGGTAAGAAATTTGGACTGTTTTGATTAGTGACTAATTTATTTTATGCTCTTCATTAAAATATCCATACTTACATGAGTGATCAAGTGTTGCTGCAGTAAAAGGTCTGTGAACAGGATCTGCTGGTTACCACCAGGTTCTTTCTCTCATGGTTTTGTCTCAAACTCTTTCTTCCCACTTTATAGGGTTCAGATGTGAAAAGAGGCAGCTCTCCTGCCTATTCGGTAAGTAAAAGATCATATCTGAAAGTGTGGTTGCTTCACGTGTTGCTCAGTGCAGTTTGCAGTGCTCCCCCTGGGTAAAGTGATAATGTAAAATAAACAATACTAAAAAGGAAAACATGCACGAGAACGGCTTAATCCATTTTCAGGTCAAATATTTTATAAGATAGGATGAAATAAGACTTTTGAGAGATTTATTAGAGGTCACCTTTTACAGCAAAATACTTACTATAAGACTTGTATGTATTTATTCCCTTACAAGTGTTGGATACCTTTAATAATATTGCACCAAAACCAATTGTGTATCTTCTGCTGGTTTGCATTGAATTTATACAAGTATGCAACTAAGATCTGATCATTGCTACGAGAATGAATCTGATATGAAACTGCAACGAGAGCATTAACCCAAGTCAAAATGAGCTCTGCTGTTGTTACAGCTTCAATCAGATACAGTTATTTTGCTCATAGTGGTTAGAACTGTTGTCTCACAGCAAATAGGTTCTGGGTTCCATTCAAAGTATCTATCAGGCATGTTCTCCTCGTGCTTGCATGGTTTTTCTCAGAGTTGTCCACAGACTGGCACGTAAGTGTGAACGTGAGGTAGAATGGTTGTTTGCCGCCTCTGTGATTGACTAATGATCCGTCCATGGTGAACCTCATTGTGTTTCATGATTCAATTATTTTCCACTTTATACAGCAGCAGTACAAGCATTCATAAAAGCTCTGAGTAGTAATTATTTATTAAATATTATTTTACACAACTTCTTTTGTTAGACCCCAGAGAAGAAACAGTCAGAAACTACAAGAGGCAGAAAAAGGAAACCGGAGATCCAATCAGAGAGCAGCCAAGGTGAGCATCTTTGTGTTGAACCGGTTTTATGTTGACTTTTGCTTATTGCTTTACTCTTTTGAAGTATTTTAATAAAACCCAATAACTCTTTCTTTTCCCTTCACAGGAAAATCAATTGTGCGAGGACCCAAAATAAGTGATTATTTTGATGTAAGTTTTCTGTTTGGTGTCAGATGTTCATGGATATAAAGTGATGAGTGAATAATTTGTGCTTAATATGTCTTTATTTAACGTCTGTGGCATAATCTCTTTCCTGTTTCTAATAAGACTACTATGATTTAAAAGGAGGCTGGGATGTCATTTGTGTCCTCTTTACCTTTTTAGTTCCAGGGAGGAAATGGGTCCAGTCCTGTGAGAGGTCTGCCACCAGTGCTTCGCTCGCCCCAGAACTCACATTCCTACTCCACTCAGGGCTCTGCTGTGAGTGCCACTTGTTCTTAAAGTCTCCTTTGCTGCTCTAGTTGTGTTTGGTCCTGTTACTAAAGAAATGCTGCCTCTTCTGTTGCAGGTTAGACAAAATAGCTCATCTCCCACTAGTCTGTCTTTTGGGGACCACATGATGCATCCAAAGCAACTAGCAGTCAAATTTGTTCAGGTGTGGTCTACGACTGACGAGAGTCCAGTTACCATAACTTCCTGTAGTCACTCTTGAATGTGTATTGGATGACTTTGCACGTTTTTAAAACTTGGTTGTTTTTCTCTCTAGACTGACCTCACAGTGTTGAAACTGGCTGCCCTTGAAAGCACTAAGAACCTTGACCTTGAGAAAAAAGAGGGCAGAATAGATGATTTACTAAGGGTAAGAAGCAAATCTGTACTCTCTAATTGACTGGCCTGTGATGTTAATGTCATACAAACACTGTCGGATGAAAACTTAAATAAGGCTCAGTTGGTATTTGTCTGACTGTTGTTTGTTTCTGCTTTGTAGGCAAACTGTGATCTCAGGAGACAGATAGATGAACAACAAAAATTACTTGAAAAGTACAAGGAACGCTTGAATAAATGCATCACCATGAGCAAGAAGTTGCTCATAGAAAAGGTAATTGTGTTGTTTCTTTAACAACACTCTTGTATGTGTGTATATTATATATTAATGTTATGTATGGTTCTTCAGAGCACTCAAGAGAAGCAGGCGTGTCGGGAGAAGAGCATGCAGGATCGACTACGTTTAGGCCATTTCACCACAGTGAGACATGGTGCCTCGTTCACAGAACAATGGACGGATGGCTATGCCTTCCAAAACCTTGTGAAGTAAGAATCTTTAAATCTTAATTCGATTAATCCTTTTATTTTTTACTTATTATTAAAATGTTGTTTTTACCTGGAAACACGCACATCTGCAAGCTTCCCAGTACAACCACGATCAAGTGTCAACAGATATTTTTTTTGCTAAACTTCAGACAGATCACATCACCACTTGTGATCACCTCCTGTCAGTAGTTGTTAGGATTTTATCAGTAAACTAACACACTCTTCATTAGCGCCACCAATGAAATTATATTTTACATCAAAGATGCGGTGTGGGTATGCGGTTATTTTTCATGTTTGGTAGGGGAGGGTGAGGTGAGGGGGTGTTCAGCTGCAACATGTGATTTCAACACTAGATATCACTAAATTCTACACACTGTACCTTTAAGATCGGGTGGAACCAGGATTTTTTAACAGTGTGTGATCGGGCATTGTTTTGACATTT